GTTCCAAGCATAATCTACCATTGACTATATTTAGGTAATGGAAAAAGAGATAGCCAGCAGTCTTTGATGGGCAATTAGAAAATAGGCAAGATACACCATGAAGCACAATACTTAATAAATCACTTCAACATGCTACTTTGATAACATTGAGCATTATATAAAGCATTACACAACTTGAATTCAGAATTTAACCTGAATTATTAAACTGAAATATTGTTTCTCAAATATTAGTGAATAAGATACTATTGACGAATGTTCCCTGTTTCAACATACACTTACACTCACATACATTCAATTCACACATAATTACACCCAAACAGCTATATAAACATCCACAAGTATATAATATAGATATATAATTAAATAATTGAAATAATCAAATATCGAAAGATGCATTTCAATTGTGCTCTTCGCTTTCCATTATAAATTTAACAAACTTTAAATATATATAATTATTGAGCATTATTGAACATAGATTTTTATTTCTATTCGCCCACTGCTTTCCGTTCTAAACTGTTCCTTATATTGAATATGAAATAATAGCTTTATTTAATTTCACACGGAAAAATACCAATATTGATAAATAGGTTACTATAATTTATTTTAAGTAACCACTTAGTGCTATGCTTGAGTATATTACTAAAAAACGAACACACGTGGACACCATATTACTCGTTCTATTGATAAAGGGAAAAACAAACAAACATAGCCACACAAATGGGTTAAAAATAGTTTATAACATCCAATGAGACAATCTATTCAAAATTATTCAAGAACAAAATATTTGCAAACTGATCCAATTTAGAGGAATATATTTAGAACAAACATTAGTAAATAAGAATAAGGAAGAGCTTAAAGTTACACTTTGTTCCATGTGGAACCATCAGTCATAATAACTGTCAACTTTTAGGAAGGATTGTTCTGAACGAGATTAATAACGTTGGTTGTTTTGATGTTTTCACCTAGATTTATCTCAGATAGCTTGAGACTTTGGTGTGTTGGTAAGACTAAACAGACTCGAATCCTTTTTATAGTTACACTGGAAAATTTAGTATATCTAACTATAAAACCTTCTTTTTCATGAAACAATCCATAGATATTTGCGACATCAGCAAAATGTTTTCAAGCTGGAGTTTTGTAAACAGAACTAGCAGTTGTTTTCGTTTATAGACATAACTTTAAGGCAATAACCAATCACTAAGAAGTGTTATCCGCAGCTGTCGTCCACATTGCAAACAATATTGTATAAATAATATAAAATACGTTATTAAAATATTTTCAACAAATATTGTGTGGAAAGGAACTTGTGCTACAGGCACCGTTTATAAAAACGCTATTTTGTGGATAAGAACTTGTGCTACAGGCACCGTTTATAAAAACGCTATTGTGTGGATAGGAACTTGTGCTACAGGCATCGTTTATAAAAACGCTATTGTGTGGATAGGAACTTGTGCTACAGGCACCGTTTATAAAAACGCTATTGTGTGGATAGGAACTTGTGTTACAGGCACCGTTTATAAAAACGATATTTTGTGGACAGGAAGTTGTGCTACTGACAGAGTTTTATTGCAGCCCCCATATATAATATATCTGAATAAAATCACATATCTTTTTATTTGTAAACCACCTTGGAAAACACACCTAAAATATTATTTCCCCGTGGAGGTGTCTTTGGCAAAGACATGAAATATACATTCAATGTTCAATTTCATAAAATAATCTGAAATCTGAAATAAATGTTCAGTATTCCAAGCATTTGCTGATGTATTTAAATATGAAGGCATTTCGAAAAAGGTTACAAACAAAACTTTAAGCACAGAATTGTTTTGTGACATTCATTCAATAACTAATATTTTAATTTTGCTGAACAAACCAATTTGCAGAAATCAATAAACATTCACGCGAATTCCTAATGTCTTTATTAGTCTAGGCGTTTGGCCACTAAAATTAACAAACTCAGTTTTATAAAACATTTCTCCAATTTTTTAACTACTATTTTCAAAGACCTTCTTTTCCTTATCAGTACCATGATGTATTTTACATAATATATTTAAAAAAAAGCTTTTAAAAGTGAGAAATATACTCCCTTTATTCTGTTTTTCTAACTTTACATTTTATTTCAGTGGAAATAGACATTATCTTATCTTTACAATTCCTCATTTAAGTTAGTTTTTATATTATGGATGTTACTCTAGAATGTCAAGCTATGGCGCACCAAAACAAAGGAAAAAATACTTAACCACATACTAGTGTTGAGAAGAGAGTATTCAAACACTGTGCATAATAGAATACATATACGTATGTTTGTTGTTTAAATATAAAGCTGCACTATGAATTATCTGTACTGTGCCCATTGTGATTGTTGAAACTCACATTTTAGTATTATAAACCCCCGGACTTACCACTGAGCACTAGAGAACAGAATATGGGCATGATAAGTTCATGGCATAAAATAGTTGTAAAACCTTGTAATAATGTAAGAAGTAATGATTACGTTTTGACTCACTATGCTAAGGAACGAGTTTTTTTTTGTTTTTTGTTTTACTTTTGTCGCTGGTGAGATATTGTTTACATCCAGTATAGCTTATTATCCTCTGAGAGATAACACCAAACCCACATAAATATTTCTTCTTGCATTTTGTTTAAGAAAGAGCCGGAGTTTGTTATATTAAAACGACTTAGGAGACTCACCATGTCTCAGTCATGCCCTATTTGACGGAAGTGAATCTTTACAATAACCTTTCAGCGTAGTTTTAAATCAAAAGACTCAGTGGTAAGGTTGTCATGTTAAAAGCACATATCCGCAATTCCTTTCCATAAGCTATCTAGTACACAATGACGATGGTTTCCCACGTCGTTTCAACTGTCCTAACGCAAAGAAATACATAGGCTCTGTGTATGGCGACTGAAATACCCTGAATATCCGTTTCATTCTCCAGCTGCGCGGGGTATGCGAAGGTCGAACGGATATTTCCTGAAAGCAGCTTATGTGTACGTGATTTGTGTCGGTTTTTGGATGGAGATCCTTCTTCATCATGTTGCATACTGTTGCCTAGGACACATGAACGATTTTTTAAACTAACCTTTGTATTCATGGTTTCTCACTTATTACGAAACGCCGCACTTTACTTACCGAGGCTGGGGTACGATTTACTGCAAATCTTTTATTGAATGGCACCGGTGTCACAAGTCAATCCATATTCTTTTGTTTTCTAATGCCATTAAGTAAAAAGGCTAAACCCGTATTGGAGTTTCTAAATCACAGAAATGAGCATATATTTATGATCTGAGTTTATAAATGTATTGCTTCTGAAAAGGTTGTTACATACTCTTCCCAAAGCGACCAGTTTTCTGTGACATCACATTACGTACGAAATACGATATATATTGTCAAAATGTAGTTCTGATACATTCCGTTATCACATGCTCACTGATTTGAATATTCAAATTTGTTTTAATATAACTTATTCAACCTTCTATACAACTATTTATATTATTGAAAACATGAACACAAAATACTTAAAACAATTAACAAATTCAGGACGATTCACAAATAACTGCGCTATCTTTCTTAATGCTTAACGTAATGGGGAAGGCCTCATGATAAAGACTACAGTAACATGATGAGGGCTACTGTGACGTGATGAAAATCACTCTTACATGGTGAGGACTACAGCAAAATGGGGAAGACTACAAGTGACTTAGTGAAGAATAACATGATGAAGAATACGGGAACATGGTGAATACTACAGTTACACGATGAAGACTGTAGTGACATGATAAAGAATACACTAACTTAGTGTAATCTTAACAGAGAGAACAAATCGAAGTCCACATAAAAACATCAAGCATATGTTTTCCTTAAAAGTTTCCAATCAAATCATGTTCACTCTGCCTTTTTAGAAATATCCAAAATGTTATGTTCTCTAACGTTGCATCTTTTTTTTTATTCAGTTTTGCTTTATATGCTGTTGCAATAGGTTCGTATATACTTATATTTCTTTAAAATAAGACGCACTTAATTGTATTTTATTCAATAGAGATATTTATCTAAATTAGTTCTTATACAGCTGAAATTAATTTTAAAGAAAGTTGTCTGGCGTGTATGTTTATATTTATGATTAAGAAATACTTTAAAACATATTTAACAGAGAGAAAGTTTTAAAGATAATTCAGTAGCGAATCATACGTCGTGGTACACTGTAATAAATCAAAACTGATAGAAAAATGTCGACTTTGAAACACAACTGAATAGCAAATTAAATATCAATAATAATCTTATAAGTAAGTTCCAGACGAGCTTCTAACTATTTCACTAAATCTTAATAGGCATCAGTTATGTGCTGAGATTTCTATACCGTATTAAGAAAAACATAATTAGTTATTTACGAAATAGGATTAATTATTAACATAACAATATTAATAGTTAACAGAAATATAATTAGCTCTTTCTAATATCCTAGTGCAGTGAGCATTATCTTATATATAGTTATTTAAATACTGAAACTGTCGGTTTTAAGAACGTAATGCCCCGCCCAGTGGCACAGCAGCATGTCTGCGGACTTACAACTCTAGAATCCGAGTTTGGATACCCGTGGTAGACAGAGCACAAATAGCCCATTGTGTGGCGTTCTGCTTAATTACGAACAAACAAACAAGAACGTAATTTTGATGCAAACTTAAAGTTTTGGTTAATTTCATTATAGAAAGCTTTGTGAACACGCTAGCTTTAGGCACTTTAAACAGTAAGACCTAATGCGACTGGATCGTGTAGTAGAAGTAGTTCATGCTTATTAACTGTAAGCTCGTCGATAGAAGCCTGGTGAAATCAACGTGTTAATCACCAGATGGCAGCTTCTCATCGTAGTGTTTCGGTGCAAAGTACTTCGGTGCAACAGGCCACCTAGTGCGTCTGAGCAGATCATTCAAGCTGAAAAGCTGCGTTTATAAGACAGATTCATCGATCCAGAGATGCACAAGTTATAGGCTTGAGAGGCTGCTCACCTTACTCCTCCAGCTGTCCTTGAGGAAACTAGGCGTTTTTGGTCTACCAAAAGCATCACTCTAATGTTAAAGACAGGCTAATTTATTCGATGTTAAATAAAAATCGTTTTTTTTTCTTTTTGTAGAAATATCAGATGAAAGACTTAGGTCAATAGTAAAGCATTGAGTTTGCCTAGAAATTATGATAAAAAACAAGAAACTTTGTTGATCATAACTCCATCTTCGATTTTAAGACAGGCAATCTACCGGAAAGGTAAGAAGTAAGATTTGTATATTCAGTTTAATTATTCCAGGTTAGTTGATATGAATTTTTATTAGCAGGGTGTTTACTGAGAACCTAATCTGATTTTCAGTTACATCCAGACGTTTCCGCACGTAGTATCTTTACTTTTAATGGCAGGTTCTTTACAATTATACATTGCACAAAATTATGACATAAAGACAATGAAAAAAAAAGTTTACAGTTTGATGGCTGCTGATGTGCAAGATAATTTACTGCTAAATAACTCTAAAGAATTACCTTATTATGTAAAACTTAAAACTTGTTTATTATCGTATATACAGGGTATAATATTTATGGTTACAGCGTTGTACCTGATGATGTCAGATTAACCTGGTGAAACGTTGAAAACCAGAAATATTATACTATGTATATCCGACGATAAACAAGTTTTAAATAATTTACTTCTGTTTCATCGTTTGTTTTATTTACTATCTGATAAAAGAAAGTATTCACGTATTTTAAACAACGTAATAAACAAGCTCCTTTATTTCAAAGCTAATTACGTTTGTAGAATCAATTTTCTTAACGGTTACAACATAAATCAATGGCAGAATTGTTTTATGCTAACTTCTTTTTTTTTGACCGTGGACTTTTCCGTACTATTAATTAACATATTTGAAGAGAGCTTTTGTAACCTAATCCAAAATTTAAGTAGTTTTAACTAGTTTCTTTTGAATTTACAATATTATTGCTTTGTTATTCACTTTTGTGTTATAATATGTTATAAGCTTGTTTTACTTCGAATTTTGTTTGCATTACCATTTTGTTTGACAAATGCAACTACGTAGCTTAGAATAAACAATTAATTTCAATAAAACATTGTAATCTAATGCATACACTTTTACTGTAGCCAGAATAAGATCGGTATATAAGTTCTGTCATTTAAGTAAAGGTAATTAATATATTAAAACCAGGCTGTTTAGCAATGAGAATTAAAAAAAAAGATCGAAATTATACAGATAAATATATATAAGATGCCAATAATTAAAACTGTTGTTTATCAAACAAATGTTGTCGGTAGCGTAATGGGTGCTTTATGATAATTTTAGATCGGTTAAAACAAATGTTGGCAGCGTAATGAGTATTTTATGATAATTTTAGATCGGTTAAAACAAATGCACATATATTCACTAAAATATGTTATAGAAATCTGAACCTTTTTTAATATCATATGAGAAATTGTAAAAGCGTAAAAGAAAACGTTAACGATATTTATTAAAACGTGTATAATTTCATATTTTCAATTCGTGTTTTGGTTTTCTATGTTGAATTTCTAAAAACGCAAATAACAACCACAATGTTTCAATTGAAGTTGCATGATCTCAGATACACTAAGCTGTTGTTATGGAAACAAAAATGAAATGCTTATATAACTCAGCTCAAGATGAGCTCCTTATTCTCTCGAGTCTTCCCAGAATCCTTTTCTCGTCATGCAGAATAGGTACTCCCACACAAGTTTAGTACTCGTACAAGGAATATGATGAAGTACGTATACCAGGTAGAAACATAAAACTTTAATATAGTTGGAAAATGATCTATCATTATATTAGTAATAATTTCATTCTAATGTAAACTTACAGATCAAAATGCCTTACCTTCCACAAATGGTTAAGCTGCTTAATATATTAATCAGTAGAAGCAACTACCCTGCAACAATAACGATTAGGCGACTACCCTGCAACAATGACTATTAGGCGACTACCCTGCAACAATGACGATTAGGCGACTATATGACAAGAATATATTTGTTCTATGTAAACGAGTCATTTACAAAGGAACACTCATGTTTTCAGCTGTGGAGATAAAAATTCTTTCTGTAAGACTGCTGTTTAATTCTAACATGTCCTTTTAATGAAGTAGTTTGTGAGGGTAGAGAGAGGGGAAAATACACATGGAAAACATATTTCGTCCAAATACAGTGGAGGAAAGTATGGCGATCTGGCCCGTCCTTTGTGCTTAAGATTGCATTTAATCTGTTTTGCTTTGGGTTTTCCCGTAGTTCAGTATGATACTGAATTTTTGAGTATTTTACCTAAAACTAAACAAAACGGAATTTCTCTTCAAATGGCAAAATTGTCAACATTTGCTGGTTTTTGAACTTTAGGTCGCTGTACACATAAACTGAAATATGCTTTCACAGAATAATATGAAGAAGGGAAATTTTTGAAGCCTTTAAGTATTTGAATTAGTGGCAGTTAATATCTTGCCATCTGTTAATCAAACCACTTAGTCCACTAATCACAGAGCAACACTTTTAAGGGACTCTATGCCATAGCGAACTCCAATTATCTTGATACACGATTTATGAAACATGTTATAAACGTTTTGGAAATGCCTTAGACCTAATGATAACGTCAAGTAACTTTAGTGAAAAGCTTTAACCCAGTTTTCCATTCTTTTGACATTATTTATTACACAATGTGTCTAGGATATACGTATGGTTCTCTTCAGGTTTATAATTTCGTGTACACGTAATCGTTTGGGCTTATTGGTTATTAGTGAGAAAGAGAAGGTGGAGTGAAACAGCCACCTTAGTTTTCAGTGTGTTTCATCAATTAAGATGAATGTCATGAAAAAAGCAAAAGGTTGTAAAAAGAACGTTGTTTTATCATAAATGTAATTTCTAATTACAACAAAGATCAAACATAGACTTTTTTAAATATTGAAAAAATCCATTTCTTGTGATTGGGGCCGTTTTACTTATAAGGTTGGATACAACGGACGTCCAAGATAGGTACAATGGCTCCATACAACCCATATGAACTACAATTTAAAAAAAATACTACATTAAGTAAGTGCATTTAAGACCATTGAGCATTATCTAGGAAGTGGCATAAAAAATGTGTGGACTAGTGTGGGGCAATGACTATATTGTGGACGAACATTTGGCGGAAATATTTGTCATTGGTGTGAGAGAGGGAGTCACTCATTGTAAAGCAATAGCACGTTATAAAAATTTGTGAATTTCAATTCCTTTCATGCATATATTTGGTTGTCTATAACTCCTCGCTATTTGAAATCAACAAAGTGAAATTCACTGAGATGTCTACTTTGCAACCATTAAAAATTCCTTAAGAGTATATCTTAGATCAGAGTTGTTCAAAGACAAAAAATTGAAGTCGTGCTTTGATCATTTACATTCGCGCCCGTCCACCAGCTTATTTATGCCCGGAATCACACGAGCAGTTGTTAGATACAATTTACTCTGACAATATACAGGAGTGGCCGTTTTATCGTTACTTTATTTTCCCCAAATATGTATTCCATTCCTTCGTAGTCTTACTAACAGTACTGGGAAGAAAGTTTTAAATATATACATATATATATATATATATATATCCTTCATAATCTTCTCTTTTGTTTATTCTATATAACTTTTATATGAAGATTGTTTTCCATATGTTAGCTCAGTATATGGATTCAATACTTACCTAAATATCCTAGAGTGACCAAATTTCTTGATATATTATTGGGATTATGGACGAAAATAACGAGGTTATGAAGCTTATGTATTGATGTATTCTAATATTTTAATTTTTGTTTGATGACATTGAATACTCCTAGCATTAAATTAGTTACGTTATTTATTGGGTTAATGTTTAATTCTGACTTATGTGAGTACCTTGCTTTGATCAGAAGTTAAAGATAGTAACTCTTTAGCTAGATGAACAGTAAACAGTTCCGCTGGTATTGTCAGTTGTAACTAGTATGATAGTATTAACTATATGTGAGAAGTTATATATAGTTATATTAGTATTTGTCACTGGAAAGAAACTATTTGTTATAAATGTTTGAAAATGTTTCAGTTTCATAATAGTTTATTTTTTCCTCCATTAAACACTTAAACATGCTCATTCCACTGTTCATTGTGTTTTTACTAACTATAAGGGGTAAAATATTGGAACAAAAGAATGGTAAGAAAGTGATATAATATAAATATAACAGCTTCTAAAATACATTGATTCTGTATGCATTACTATATAAGCGTTGGCAATGTGTATCTTAGACAAACTTATATGTATGTATGCATAGCGTATTTCAGTTAGAAGAATCAACTGGCACAAAATACCATTCTAACCTGTGTGTATGTTTCTATTGTATTAACAATCAGATAACCCGTGTGCCACACATGGTGTTATACGTTGTTTTTATATTATTGGTGTTGTGTTACCACCTTCCCTCTTTAAAAAAAAATATTTTGGGACAGAAACAAGTAATTAGTTTTAAACAACTGAAAGACACTTTTCTTACAAAATAAATCTTACTATAGTTTTAAATGATAAATTGCATGGTGCAAGTTTTTCTCTTACTAGGTTTAAAGTGTCTGTTTGTGTACAAGACACATAATCTATTAGTGTATAAAACATTGCCAGGAGCGAAACTAGGTTATTTCATATCTTCATCATTCATCAGTATGGGTCTGTTTAAAGTAAGAGACGCAAATAATGATGGAGTTAGGGAATAAAATGCAGGACTATTTCGTGTTTAGCGTAAAGAGATCACCTTTGCGTAAGAGACAAAAATAATAAAGGAGCCAGGGAAGAAAATTTAGGGTTATTTCGTGTTTACCGTAAAAATCCATATTTATCTATGTATGCATATTATTGCTTTGATGACAAAAGCTATTACACAGTTTTTAATATTTGATGACAAACAATGCTATTCTCATAGAATTGCACAAATAATCCCAAACAATAGGTTCGCTGTAACTATATTGCATTATTTACGGTTTTAATGCATCAGTTTTGTTTTTCTATATTCAATATTTTTTTCTATGTTAAAGACAGACGTGAAAAAAAAGGAAATGTCATTATTTTATGTAATTTTTAACCAGTTAAAATCGTCAATGTTGTTTCGAGCAACTGTTTTTTAGAATGTTGTTTTTTAATCACACAACTTTAATTGTGTATAAAGGTTGCCAGGCTCTGGTGTTAGGGTCGAACGGTCGCAAAACATAAACTAAAAAGCAC